TTTAAAAAAACCATCGTGACCCCTGAATGACCTTCAAAATGACCTTTCAAGGATTTTTCAAGGTCAGTACCATACTTCCCCCGTGTAACCCTAAACTTTTCATATGAAACATTTTTCTCTATCCCTACTAGTTTTCGAGATATTTGACTGGATCACTTCAGGTCCACCCTGTATATATATTTTTTTCTTATACTTACCGGTCGCAGAAATATTTCTTGTTCTTTTTCCCGGTAAGTTGCGATCTCACAAGGCGCGACAAATCTTTTATCCACGCAAAGTGGCCTACACCGTCGTTGCGTGGATCTTGCAGGTACAGGAGATTGACGTGTTTCTCCTTCTTGTCGTCTGTGAGTCGCAGAGGAAGGATCTGCTTATTCTCGATGCCGTACACGTTGATTGACACAGCGTTTAAACGTTCGAATTTCAGAATGTCTTTTAATGTCATCGGAAATTCAATACCCGCGAAATTCAGCACTGTTGTGTAATGTGGATACGACGATTTTCTATCTGCATGACTTTTAGCCAGGTATAGAGCAGCGACCACCGACCACGTGAAGCACGCATTGTCCATGGATTTCACACTGACCACCGCTTTCTTCAGGATAATTTCTCGCGGCACCTCGAAGTGACATCCCGCGCGCATAGGATTCAGTTTGTTCACGTTAACAGTTAGGAGAATTCGCGATAGCGCCGACCCACTGTCGCGTTCTTGAAACTCTTCGAGCGATGCCAAGATAGGCTCGACGATGTGTCGAGTGATACGAACGACGTACCACTCGCGCATATCGGTGCATCTATATATCTCGCTGTTCTTCGTGTTTATACTTTTATTGGCACGTTTGTCTTTTGTGACGAAGTCGCCGTTGAATGCTGTGTTCACTTTCACACTACCGTGTCTTTCCACAGCGTCTCGCACTCGCTCTAGCACTACATCGCCAGCGTCTTCCAAAAACCGCCGCGGCTCGATGTGGTTAGAGTTTATCACCGCGCCTGTCACTATACGACTCTCGAATGTTGTTTCGATCTCGCGCCATCGAAGTCCGTAAACGGCGCCCACATGCACGAATCTTCCACGCACCGAATCCTTCAAACTCTCGAGCCTCGCCACCACGGATTGTCTGTGTCCAACGGCGAGGCGCGGACGCTTGGTACGACTCTGCTCTTCTATAAATTCTATTAGTTCGTCGCATCGTTGTTCCCATGCGACGTACTCTTTTCTAGTATTCAGCTGGACCGTTTCCTCTATCAAATCGCTCTCCATGTTATCGGTTGCGTTGACTAATGACACGGTGTGTCTAAATCTTCTCATTTTATATCATTTATTTGGTCACGTGATATTTGTATCATATTACATTGATGATGATGTCACCATTCGAACATGTTGTGATATGTCGAATGTTCGTGAAAAATCTAGTCATGTGACATGTACACTATTTGGCAACGTCGCATTTATATCAAATCGCATCGATAATGTCACCGCTAAACATGTCGTGACATGTTGTGACTTGTCGCGGCATGTCCTTGAAAAATCTTTGATTACGATATAATCTAATAAAGCCGTCGACGCTTGCGAAATTACAAACGTCGCATTTTTGTTGTATTAAATTACATTGATGTTATCGCGAGACGCGTCAAATAACAAATACGATGTAGCAAACACCTAGCGTAAGATTTATGATAAAAATTCAAATATTAAATGTGAATTATTAGTTACACTATGGATGATAATATATAGTATATGGAAAATAAACGAATATTTAAATTGTATGTCTCAGCGTTTGAAAATTATTCATTCCTTCCGTCTTTGCGATATTTATTCCTTCTTTTCCTTCCTACTTTCTTCGTAGTATTATATTACATGTGCCGACAGCATCATCGCGATCGATGATATCATCGCGTCCGATAATATCGCTGCGCTCGCTTTAAAAGCATTATTAGAATATAATGGAATAAGTACAATATAAATAAAAAAATATATATGTATATGTATACATATATTTTGCGTATGAGAATAAGTAAAAGGGATCACATAGGAAGCTGCAATGAGAGAAAAGATCGTAAGTATAGAATGCACATTAGTCGCAACGGGCGGCATAATGCATCGAGAGAAAGATGGTTGATATATGAGATAGCGCGCACGCGGCAGCGCTGCTTAATATCTCTTAATAATGCGCATAATGGTAACATTTGATAGCCGGATTGAAATATTTACAAGATGCTGCGGAACGAATACAAGGACAACTTTATAAGCGTTGGACTGCTAGCCGTTAGAATTTGCACGATGAATGACGTTACGCTCGTACGCCTCGATTCTTCGTCCGTACGCATAATGATGACCGAAATGACGCTACACCGCATGTTCGCGTTTTTCGGATGTATCGATGTAACGTTCGAACGATTAGTTTGACTCGTCGATACGGTTGATGTCAAGTATACGCGATTCTCCAACATCGCTTCCGAAGACGCTATACGCGATAGCTACTTCTTTAACAAGTATCAGCTCGTCGATTGCGAGCTATTGGTTTTAGTTTTTAATACGCAAGAAGAAAAACTCGATGTAATAATATGTGAATAAAAATTTTTGTCGTTCACATAAGTAGGGTCCCAATGATACATGGTGTCACAGCATGGCGGCACGTATTATTGCTACTAGTGTTTATGTAAACACCGATAGCGTCGGGACCTTCCCCCTCCTCTCCCCTCCTCCCCC